CCCCCCCCCCCCAAAAAAAAACCATATATACACAACACACAAAACATAAAAAAGGATCTTTTTGGAAAGTAACTTGGACCCAGGTATCTCTTTCTTCATGGACTTCAACTGTATTCATGCTCATTTTACATATCATTACTTATTTTATTTACCATTCTAAGTCTTCTATATTAACTTCTCCCCATATTTCACTCTTTTTAATTCTATCTTAATTAATCATCTTAATTTGAGTCATTATATTTGTATCTTTTGTCCATTCTTTATTGTACCTTTGTCTCATTCCTTATAAAAAAAAAAAGAAATTTCTCCTGAAATCACTAATCAGAGTGTGATGCCTTTCTATCTCCCCACTAAATTAATCAAGTTAATCTTTAAAATAACACCCAATACCCAATCCGATTTTGCTTGGTACATTCTAACTGAATAATACATCCAGAATAATTAAATACATAGTTAAACAATAAATCTAAATATTAAAAACAAATGCTATAATAAAAATTTTATAATAACATCAATACCATAATCTTATTAAACTCTTTAATTAAAGCTCAATATTCTAAATCTCCCCTCATATTATTAAATTATAAAACCAATCATTATTAACATTTCAACATTTTAATCTCTTATCAATTCTTAAGCCATTTAAGTTTTCTATTTCTAATACAATACTACAATATCATCTTATGTACCTTGCAAAATCTCTTCGCAGAAATTATACTTATCCTTCATCCCTAAAAAAGATTCCTTTTTTCCCATTTAATTTCAAAACTTTGTAGCTTTTCTCCACCTTTTCCCTTTCTTTCTTCTCCCAACAAACCTTTCTACCCCCCCTTCTTCTAGCCTCTGCCTTACTGGCTTCCCTTCTCTGTCATATTCCTCTTCCCTTTTGTTTACCATCATTATATTGATTTTGCACCTTATTTTTCCCTTTCTTAAATATTTTTTTAAATCTTAAGTCCTTTATTTCTCTTCCTTTCCCTCTTCCTTCCCTCTTGGTCGAGTTCTGAGATTTATTAAAGATGGCTTCCTCTCCTTCTTCTTCTTCTTCTGCTGTCTTCATCTGTTGCAATGTTTGTTGATAGTTAATGAGCGCCATTTCCAAAAAAAGGCAGGCTTCTTTCAAACCAGCTTTACCATTTTTTTTTTGCTTGCTCATAGTCCCTTCTCAGTTCCTCAATAGAAGGAGCCATTATAAATCTTTTCTTTTCTTTTCTCTTACAACAACCAAAATATTCCAAAGGAAAAATAAAACAATCCCAAAGTTATCAATCAGTCCAAACCAAGACAGAGTTCCCACTCTCTCCTCCTAGGGTAGTATCAATCAGAAAAAAAGAAAGTCCAAATCTATTTCTTAAAATCTTATTGCAATATATTTTAGTCTTTCAATCCTTAAGGCATCTCCTCCAACAAAGTCTTAGCATACAAATATTTTTTTTTTAGTCCTCTCTTTTCCCACTCATCGCTTAGAGCCAGTTTTCACCTAAAAAAAAAATAGGTTTCTTAATATTCACTTTTTATTCCGTAGAAAAAGAGGGTAAGCTATCCTTTCAGCACCATCAAACTGCCGCTTTTTTCCTCTTCTCGAAGGTATCATTCAGAAAGTCATACTTTTCAGGAATTTTGTTAAATATGTCTTAGAGTCCTAGGAACCAAGAAAAACTTTCTCCTTTCAAGCACTTTCTCCACTTCCTCCTGCACATTCTTACCTGGCTGCCAGCTTCTTTGTGGCGGCCATTACAGACCGCTGCTGCACCGTCCTGGGAAAAGGGGGTTCTGCCAGCCGGGGAGGGGGTCTGCAACACCCCCAAACCCCTCTCCGGATCCCCCTACCTTCAGCTGCCCCTGCAGGGCAGCCTAGCTCCGTACCCATCCGGATCGGAGCCCCAAAAACGGCTAGCGCGGCAGGGATCGCGCAGCTTCGCAAATCCCTGCCGCTCGCAAAGCCGACAAACCGGAAGTCCGCTCTCTCTGACATTCTGTTGCTATCTAAGGTTCTCTGTTGTATTTATGCTGTGCTTATACACTGCTCAAAAAAATAAAGGGAACACAAAAATAAGACATCCTAGATCTGAATGAATGAAATATTCTTATTACTTTGTTCATTACATAGTTGAATGTGCTGACAACAAACTCACACAAAAATTAGCAATGGAAATCAAATTTAGCAACCCATGGAGATCTGGATTTGGAGTTACACTCAAAATTAAAGTGGAAAAGAACACTACAGGCTGATCCAACTTTGATGCAATGTCCTTAAAACAAGTCAAAATGAGGCCCAGTAGTGTGTGTGGCCTCCACGTGCCTATATGACCTCCCTACAACACCTGGGCATGCTCCTGATGAGGTGGCAGATGGTCTCCTGAGGGATCTCCTCCCACACCTGGACTAAAGCATCCCACAACTCCTGGACAGTCTGTGGTGCAACGTGGCGGTGGATGGAGTGAGACATGATGTCTCAGATGTGCTCAATTGGATTCAGGTCTGGGGAACGGGTGGGCCAGTCCATAGCATCAATGCCTTCGTCTTGCAGGAAATGCTGACCCACTCCAGCCACGAGGTCTAGCATTGTCTTTCATTAGGAGGAAACCAGGGCCAACCGCACCAGCATATGGTCTCACAAGGGGTCTGAGGATCACATCTCAGTACCTAATGGCAGTCAGGCTACCTCTGGCGAGCACATGGAGGGCTGTGCGGCCCCCTAAAGAAATGCCACCCCACACCATTACTGACCCACTGCCAAACCGGTCATGCTGGAGGATGTTGCAGGCAGAACGTTCTTCACGGCGTCTCCAGACCCTGTCACGTCTGTCACGTGCTTATTGTGAACCTGCTTTCATCTGTGAAGAGCACAGCGTGCCAGTGGCGAATTTGCCAATCTTGGTGTTCTGTGGCAAATGCCAAACGTCCTGCACGGTGTTGGGCTGTAAGCACAACCCCCACCTGTGGATGTCGGGCCCTCATACCACCCTCATGAGTCTGTTTCTGACCGTTTGAGCAGCCACATACACATTTGTGGCCCGCTGGAGGTCATTTTGCAGGGCTCTGGCAGTGCTCCTCCTGTCCCTCCTTGCACAAAGGCGGAGGTAGCGGTCCTGATGATGGGTTGTTGCCCTCCTACGGCCTCCTCCACATCTCCTGATGTACTGGCCTGTCTCCTGGTAGCGCCTCCATGCTCTGGACACTACGCTGACAGACACAGCAAACCTTCTTGCCACAGCTTGCATTGATGTGCCATCCTGGATGAGCTGCACTACCTGAGCAACTTGTGTGGGCTGTAGACTCCGTCTCATGCTACCACTAGAGTGACAGCACCACCAGCATTCAAAAGTGACCAAACCATGGGACTTCCGGTTTGAGCTTCTTCGGCAACAGACCAAAGCCTCATCTCTGTGAGGTTTCGATCCGTGCTTGCCGTTGGAGCGCCCCGAACCGGCTGGTTTCGGGGCTAAGCCACCCTGTAGAGGTGGTGAAGAATGGGGAGACTGCCTGCAGGGTTGAGGAGAGCCGCATCTCTCCTCTCCAGATGGCCATTACTCCCTTTCCCGAAGGCGGTTGTAGCAGTGGTCAGAAATGGCCACCACAAAGAAGAACTCGACCGGAAAAGAATGTGCAGGAGGAACATAAGAAGAGAAAGTCTTGGTTGACCGGGTCAAACAGCAAAAGCAACAAATAAGGTACCCTGGAATTGAAACTATTAAAAAAAAATAACATTGTTCCCTAAGAAGATTTTTAAGCTGCGAAGGAGAGAGAAAAGGAAAAAGATTTGTTTTTTTTTCTCCTTTTCCTATACTGACAGCTAAGAGACTTAAGCAAGAAATTGGAAAAAAATCCACTTTGACATTAATAGGCATTTAATGCTGAAAATAAAAAGTCAAAGGGATAATAAAGATTTCTGGATAATCAAAAGCTTTTGAAAACAGGAAAGGAGAGAAAAAGAATAAAAGGGCAGGATCTGGAAGGGATGAGACTGCCTGGAATTAAAAAGAACTTACAGCAAAATCTTAACAAGACTTCCAAAAGATACATTTTAACTGAAACATCGCAACAAAAACCCCAGGAAGAGAAAGTGGAAAAAGAAATAAGAAGAAACAGCTTGGGACGATTTGGATTACTTGATCTCTGGATTTTTGGTTATTGTATTTGAATGACTAAAATCAATCGGGTGGTTGTTTAAAACTGTTTAAAATGGCTCCACTTTTAGAAGAACTGAAAATGGAACTTAAAAAGTACAAAGAAGATGCACAAGAAGGGAGAGGTTCTTTTGGCT